AAAATGGCAAAGATTGAGATGAAGGTCTAACATTTCCTTTCTGTGGACTGCAGCTCAGGATACCTGCCCTGAGGGTCCAGCTCTGGCATGCTCTCACTCCCTGTCCGAGTTCGGGATGTTGAGAAGTTGGCTATGAATAGTTCTGAAGAGCTGTTTCCATGTCCATGTTTTCAGTACTCTGTGCCAAAATCCATCTGTTCATTCTGTCCCATATTCTCCATCTTTTGGACAATCCATCAAACGTACTTTAACACTGGGGGTTTTGCAGACTATGACTTTGCAGAGCAACTGTCAGAACTTTCACATGTTGTCACATCCCGCTCAGACGAGGGGGACAAGTGACTCAGATTTGCAAATCCCCAATTGGAGCGGACAACAAGTCTCCAAGTTCAAGCATTTATTAACTACCTACAATGCACTAATTGAACACATGATAATTGGCTAAGTACAGAGCAAGTTGTGACGAGCAATATAATATGCTTTGCATTTCTTAATAGAAAAAGGAAAAGAGGGAGACAGAGGGAATGGGGGAATACAGATCACCGGTCTGGGTTCCTGCGCTGATCCCGCCGGTGAGGGTTCCAGGAGGCGGCCGTCTTCTTTGCTGGCATCCGTCTTCTTCGCTTCACTGCTCTCTCCAGACGGCCGGGGGGGCAGGGAGAGGGGCAGAGAGAGAGAGAGCCCTTTCTTCCCGCCCTTGATTTATACCCACTTTCCTTGGGTCCGTCCCCTAGGTCAACCCACAGACCTAGGTATCCCATGTACAGGGAGGGGTAAGGTGTTCCATGGGATGATGTCACTAGCATGATCATGACAGCCCTCGTTAGCATATTGAGGGGTGTCAACTTTAATATGCATTTCGTGGATAATGAAGCAAAGTTCATTCACCGGTCACATGGCCCTTGAAATCTGCCCAGGTGCCCCAGGGCAGAGCTGTCCCATCTGCACAGGGCTCTCTCCCCCAGATACATCGGGCAGCCTTATCAGCTTCGGCCTCCACAGAAAGCACCCTGGGGCTCAGAGTTTTGTCTTGCGAGTGTTTGAGCCATTTCTTCAATCAGCCTCAACTTTTGCTTTCCCAAGCTGTTTGTCTTAGTTTCTCACAGGCCTGGTTTCTCGGCTCTCACACATGGGCCTGATGCAAAGCTTCAGTGAGAGTGTTTGTGTTGACTTTAGTGAGCTTTGGATCACCTCTTCTCTTTCAGTGACACAGACTTCCACTTGATAATTTCCTAGGCCTTCTTTGGTCATCTCAATCAGCTTGTAATGAATGTCATTTCACACTTTCAAAGAATCATCCAACTGGACAAAAATCTCTGCAGATATAACAGCCAACTACTATTAATAATGGACTACAATTTATCTGGATAAACCTTCTCCCACTGAGAAGTTCACTGAGGTTAATGTCTATGAAAACGCCTTAACTCTATATAAATTTGCAGAAGTCAGAAGTTGTATCATCGGGATTTACTTACACAGTGTGATGTGTGTCATCACATTTACTTAGAAGAAAGACAGACATCTCACCGCATTCAAAACAACAGCAGGTAGGATCAAATTGGTTTATTGTTCTGGAGAATTTATCTTCCCATGAGACTAGCTCTTTAATTCACAGGCAGAACAGCCTAGACTAAATAAATGAGCAGAGTCTACACTGTAAACTACAAAGGTGTGAAAGATGCTTCTCTGAAGCCTAGGAGGGCTGTAGGAAGGATCCACCACTCAGGTTCCTAATTGCAACTCAGAGCTACCACGCGACTGGAGCAGCTCTTTACAGTCTATTTTTGCAGTTCACAGTAAAGAGGTCTGTTAGCCTACACAGGAGAGTAATTTTAGCAGCTGGTAGCAGCAGGGTCTTTTTTTCATTTGCCTTTTCCTTTCTTGTCCTCTGTCTTTATGCATGAAAAAAAAAAGATAAATATGCCTGTTTCCTTTCAGTGACTATGAAGGTAATAGAAATGACTTACTGAAATACGGATGGACAAAGCCTCAAGTCACTCAGGTTTCTACTGGTAAAGTTCCCCAGATATAAAAATAAAATATCTATCCCAACATTTTTTTTTCCCCTCCTAGGAATTTTAATTTAGTTCTCTATTTGTATAATGGCTAACACAGGTCTGTATAGTCCAAGGCTAGAACTGCTAAACTCAGCTTAACTATTACTACATCAAATAGAAAAAACTCTTTAATCAAAACCTAAGACTGTGACTGAATTCTTTTTCACTAACACAAAATAACTCATTTTTATCCTCAACTAAACCAGAAACATATATTAAGTCTGTTGTTCTTTTGGCCCAATGTATCTTTTAGTTAGATTGTGTCTGGAGAATCTCTCTTGTTACACTCAAGAGGCAAGTCTGTAGATTATCTATTTCTAATTTAAATGGCCTTTGCAATGTTGAATATTTTCCCTGCCTGCAAATCAAGATTCATAATCCCCAGTAGCTGCAGAGCCTGCCAAGAGTAATGGCCTGTGCTGGTAGTAGGGTTTGCTTTCATGTCAAACATATGGTGCCCTTCATCCCAGTCCTTGGAGAAAAAGCCTGTCCAAGGTCTGCAGGATCTGATTAGACCACGTTCCTTCTCTCCTGTACACAGGCATGTGTGTGCCTACACACAGAACCTCTCACTCACTTGCACACAGGCGCATATATATATATATATATATATGTGTGTGTGTGTGTGTGTGTGCAAACACATAAATACATCCACACACTATTATAGAGGAGCATGACCAGCTTCTTTAAGGCAGCCATGTGTTACTGATTGACTTGAGTTGGTCATTTACTGAGTGATTGCATTTGCGTCATGCAGTCGTGGCTTGCTGGGCATGGAGGAGGCTGCGCTGAGGACAGTGCTCAGAAATCCAGACAAGTTGGCAGTTCTGTGAGGCTAACACACACACACAGCATAGGCAAAGCGTTGCAAGCAGCTTGAGGGGGGTGATCATTCCCCTCTTCTCGGCACTGGTGGGAAACGCCTGGAGTCCTGTGTCCCGCGCTGGGCTCCCCAGGACAAAAGACAGATATGGAAAACTGGAGTGAGTCCGGCAAAGGACTTGTGAAGATGGTTAAGAGATGGGAGCATCTGACATGAGGGGAGGCTGAGAGAGCTGGGACTGCAGCCTGGGGAAGGGAAGGCTCAGGAGGACCTCATCCATCTCTATAAATACCTATGGGGGGTATAAAGAAGATGGAACCAGGCTCTTGGTGGTTTCCCCTGACAGCACAAGAGGCAATGGGCACAACCTGAAATTTGTTAAACATAAGAAAATGGGTTGTTTCGCTTTAAGAGTGGTTAAACAGGTTGCTCAGAGAACCTGTGGAGTCTCCAGGCTTGTTCCAAAGTTGATGGAAAGGTGATATGATCAGTGACGTCCACCACCTTTCCAGAGCCTTTCCACTTGTTTGAGTAACTCTAGCAAATCCTTTTGTGATATTAGAAGGACTTCTACTGCTGAATTTGTGCAGGTAAATTTAGGTGTCCACAGTGTACATTTCTGCATCTGAGACAGACATCCAGAAGATCCCTTTGTAATTAATGCTAGTCAACAATAGCCAGTGAAATTCAGCTCATTCCGGAGTTGAACTTATTCAAATAACCCCCACCCTAAAAATCCGTTCGCTGTATTGATTAGATCTGTAATTACTATAATAGGAGCCTGGAAGCCATTACACTCAGATGGAGATACTTACACCTTAAATTAGCTGAGGTGAATGCCATCTTCTGAAGGATGCGCTTTCTCATTAGGGTGCTTCTATTAGTTCTTTGTGGTGTTGATGTGAATGCAAGGCAGAAACTATCTTCCACGCTTTGTATGCGGCAGCACAGCACACAATGAACACCTGATGCTCAAAGATTATCTAAATAATATCTTATTATGAACATTTTTAATGATTAACGACACTAACTGTATGTGTGTGGTTTTGTGTTTTGTTGCTCTCAGGGAGGGGAGTGTCTGATCTCTGGTTAGTTTTGACACCTTGTTGGATTACAGTTAAAGCATAATTAAAACAGAGCGTTTCTTGGGCTTTCATCTGTAGAAAAAAACAAAACAAAACAAACCAAAACAAAACAAAACAAAAAAAAACAACACGAAGAAAGTTGTTCTCAGTTATGGGTTCAATAATATCAGACATCCCTTTCCTTTCCCCTGAGAGCAAATTTAACCAGGTTATTTTACATAGCCCATGTACAAACAGTATCCACTAGGGAAGCGGAGGTAGAATAAACACGAAAACTACAAAAGCCTGCTTATATTTTTCATAATCTGTGCGACAACCACACAGGCCTGCTTCATGGGGTGGTGAGTGCAGAAATATCATTTGTCTAACCTCAGAAGTGGGTAGCGCTGGTGTCTAGCTTAAGGTGCTATCTTGGTGCTGATGTCTGTCCGGAGAGGCTTCTCTTACAGTAATTGGAGAGAAACATGCACTTTCATCAAAAAATTGCCTCTTTGTTTCCATTACCATTAAGCAGTGTAAACATTTGATGTTGTAGAGGTCTATGCGTGGTATAGTGAGTCCTTCCTACCAAGAGAAAGTGTCTACTGGCTTCACTGCGTGGAAGAATAGAAATCAGATCAATATTTCTTAGACATATTCTCTCCTGCGTCAGTAAAACACTCGGATTTCTACATCTAGACCACTTTTGAGGAAAACTTGTTTTTAAAACTAGGTGCTCCATCCTCCAGGTGTGGGACCTGCTGGCGTTGAGGAGAACACAAACCCTACAGGTTTCCTTGCTACCGTAGGCTATATGGAATATTTTCTTTATAAATTTGTTTTGTCTATAGTCTCAGCCTCCCCAGTATTTCCACTTCCACAGTGACCTTAGACTGGAATAAGTAAAAATACACTTTTCTGAGATGATGTCTACTTCACTGATGACTATGCCTTTTGGGACCACCGTGGGTAGCCACACTGTCATCAGTAACAGCTTTACGTCAGCAGGTCTCTGGGAACCCTGTGAATACTTATCAGTTATTCTTCCTTTTGCAGACCCTGTGCACCCTGGGAAGTGGAATGGATTCTCAAGGCTTTTCACATTCAGGCCCTACGTCAATATCTGCTTTACTGATCACCTTCTATTAAAACTGCTATAGTCAACAAACACTAATTGTATGAAAGAAAAGCTGTTTTATACTGTGTGTTAGTATAATTATTAATATTTTCCTTTTTTTTTCTTTTTTTTTTTTTTTAATTTATTTTATCCCCCTTCATTGAAGACAGGTTTTACCTTATGTTACAGATTTAAATTTCTTCCCCTGTGTATCCTGGAAATGCTATTTCTTTGCCTCCAGATTTGGTATACGGCGTACTGTAAGATACGTAGCTGTTCATTCATCTTTATTATTTGTGTTTTAACATGCTCCTGATCTCCAGTTCTGCTCATTTAAAATCATGAGTCAACACATTTTGTTCAATGTTTATTGTTGGTTTTGTACATTTTAAAAATAATCTAGCTCGGATTTTCATCCTGTGCACTGCTACTTTAGAATTTGCTCTGCCAGATCTGAGCTAAGCGTTTTCACAATTGTATGTGCCGTTTACAAGCACATCAGTTAGATGCCTATTTGATGCCATTGTATGCATGGAACACCACGTTTATTTATGAGAAACACTAGTGAAAGAACAGGACAAATAAACATTAAGACATACTGTTACCATTTTTTTTAAAGGAAAAGACCTTTAATCTGTTAAAAAAAAATCAGGCAAGACATCTCATGAAACATGACAAATTTTGCATTATGTTTCATTTCATAGGTTTCAATGCAACCAGCATTTGGGTTTTTGTTCCATTGTCACCCGCAATATTTTCTGCTAAAAACATGATTGAAAATGCCATTTAAATTCTTGTTTAAATGTGTCATGTACTATAAATGCAGTTTTCCTTCAGTAAATAAAGCATTTCAAAAATGGTTTTAATCAAAATGTCATAGGAATTATTGAAGAGAATTTCACAATATGGTTTGTATTCTTCATGAAAAGGTACATCTTTTGACAAAAATGTTTCTTGCCAGAAAAAAAAAAAAAAAAAAAAAAAAAAAAAAAAAAAAAAAAAAAAAAAAGAGCGATACCTCTATACATTATGGATTTCTGGTTATTGTGAAGGTTTGGAAAAGAATAACAAATATTAATCTAGATTTGCACCTGCACTTATTTCAATTACATGCTTCCTTTCCAAAAAAGCTGACGCAGTCTTGCGTCAGTAAAGGTTGAGTGCAGGAAACGCTCAGAGAAACCTTAGGTGCTTAAGCTCATTCAGGGTCAAAACTATAAAACTTCTTAAATCAACGAGTTAGGTTTGGTGAAGAAACAAAAGTCAGAGTTTCTGGTGTTTTTTCTCTAGATCTGTCCTCCAAAATCTATGTAACTGGATCATTATATGTAATATTAACTATTCATTAGGTGCTATTAAGAAAATCTAATTAAAAAAATGATGCTCTTTTTTCCAACCAAGCTTAGTGCTGGCATGAAATTACAAATTATGATACCTACTGCTTTACCTTATTACGGAGGATTTATTTCTGAAATAGAGCTCCCTACTTACATCCACTGCAAACTGCAGACTGCCTCTATCAGCACATTTGGCAAATCCTATAGCAGTGAAAATAATTTTCATCTAGTCAGTAAGAGCTGAAACGAACCCAGCTTGTAGCTAATTGCGAGCAAATATTTTGAGAGCTTCAAGTTGCATTTGAACAAGGGATCCAGAACAAACAATCCTTGCCCATTCGCTAATCCCATTCATTAGAAGCTCAGTGATTACCTCATTAGTATGATGCAGTGCAGAGACAGACTGATGGAGCTTTCAGTGAGCCAGCTCACACACAGATGCATTTGGCATCAGTGACCCAGGTGAAGTATTTCTCTACTGAAACTACAGAGGCTGTCTGGCTTAGAGCAAGCAAAAAATCTGTACATGGCAACATAGACATACTCCCCCCCGCTGTGTGTTATAGACTTGGTTATAATGGCAAATGCTATTTAAAAAAAAAAAAATGTTAAAAAATATAAAACAACAAACCACCATTCCATGAGGTTGCTAAAAAACTCAGTATATTCATGCTAAATCATATAATCGGAGTATGGTTTGGGTTGGAAGGGACCTTCAAGGATCATTCAGTCCAACCCCTGCCCCGGGCAAGGCCACCTTCCACTAGCCCAGGTTGCCCAAAGCCCCGTCCAGACTGGCCTTGAACCCTTCCAATAATGGGACGTCACAACCTCTCTGGGCAAGCTGTTCCAGTGTCTCACCACCCTCACTGTAAAACATTTATTCCTTATGTTCAAGCTAAATCTACCCTCATTCAGTTTAAAACCACTGTCTTTTGTCTTGTCGCTACAAGCCCTGGTAAAAAGTCTCTCCGTCTCTTCCTTATAAGCTCCCTTTATATATTGAAAAGACAAAATAAGGTCTTCCTGGAGCATTCTCTTCTCCAGGCTGAATAACTTCAACTCTCTCAGCCTTTCTGCATCAGAGAGGTGTTCCAGCTCTCGTCTGTTTTGTGTGGCCCTCCTCTGGACCCACTCTAACAGGTCCATGTCTTTCTTCTGCTGGGGCCCCCAGAGCCCTGTATTGAGTTTGAGTGGCGAGGTTTTGGTAATGGGGAGCATACATGGGTGCCAGAAGCTTCCCAGATGTCCAATAGAGCCAATGCCAGCAGGCTCCAACAGGGACCTGCCTCTGGCCAAGGCCGAGCCCATCAGCGACAGTGGTAACGCCTCTGGGATAACAGATATAAAAAGGGGAAAAACTGCTGCACAATAGCTGTAGCTGGAGAGAGGAATGAGCGTTGGGATTCTAGAGGGCTTTCTGCGAGAGAATGGCCATGTGAGCAGTCCTGCATGAGAACAAGACTGATAAGAGCCTCAGCCGAGCAAGAATGCGATAAGGACGTAACCCTGAATGAGGGGGGAGAAACTCGATGAGACAAACAACCCCCGGAAGGGGTTGGGATGGAAGAGGAAGTTCCACAAGGCAGGTGCCTGGCAAGGCTGATGTGGCACTTTTTATCCAATCATAAGAAGGTTTAAAGCGCGGGCTAAGTTACCTGTCCAGTCTTGAGGACTTGTCCTGCATGTTACTCACGTGTGCGGGAGAACATTATAAAAGGGCTGACTTAGTTGTTATAAACGGGCACTGCTTGATCACATTGGTCATGTGCGTGCTCAGCTCTCCCGCAAATGAGAATATGTGATAGATGACTCTGCAGACACCAAGTCAGTGAAAAAGGAGTTGGAGAAGGTGCTCCAGGTGCCAGAGCAGAGATTCCCCTGCAGCCCATGGTGAAGATCACAGTGAAGCAGGGTCTCCCCCTGCAGCCAGTGGAGGTCCACGGTGGCGCAAATATCCACCTGCAGTCCCTGGAGGACCCCATGCTGGAGCAGGATGTCTGAATAAGGTTGTAAACCCATGAGAACCCTGCACTGGAGCAGGCTCCTGGCAGGACCTGTGGCCCTGTGGAGAGAGGAGCCCACGCTGGAGCAGGTTTGCTGGCAGGACTTGTGACCCCATGGGGTCCCACGCTGGAGCAGCCTGTGCCAGAGGGACTGCAGCCGTGGGAGGGACCCACGCTGGGGAAGTTTGTGAAGAGCTGCAGCCTGCGGGAAGGACTCACGTTGGAGATGTCCATGGAGAACTGTCTCCCGTGGAAGAAACCCTCCAGTGGAGGAGGAGAAGAGTGTGAGGAGTCATCCACATGAGGGGGACAGAGCAGTAGAAACAAAGTGCGATGAACTCACCACAACCCCCATCGCCCCTGCACCACCAGAAGGGGAGGTAGGGAAATCAGGAGTAAAGTTGAGCCCTGGAAGAAGGGAGGGGTGGGGGGAAGGTGTTTTAAGGTTTAGTTTTGTTTTTCATTATCCTACTCTTATGTTTGATTTGTAATAAATTAAACTAATTTCCTCAAGTTGAGTCTGTTTTGCCCCTGAGAGTAATTGCTGATCATTCTCCCTGTTGATCCTTGATCCACGATTCTTTTATTATATTTTCTCTCCCCTGTCTAAGTGAGGAGGGGAGTGATAGAGCGACTTTGGTGGGTACCTGGCATCCAGGCAGGGACAACCCACCACGAGCTGGATGCAGTATTCCAAGTGGGGTCTCATGAGAGCACAGGGGCAGAATCCCCTCCCTTGACCTCCTGGCCATGCTTCTTTGGATGCAGCCCAGGATACCACTGGCTTGCTGGGCTGCAAGCACGCATTGCCAGCTCATGTCCAATTTTTAATCCACTAGTTTTCCCAAGTCCTTCTCCCCAGCAGTGCAGTCAACCCGTTCATCATCCAACCTATACTGATACTGGTGATTGCCCCGACCTGGATGCAGGACCTTGCCCTTGGCTTTGTTTATCTTCATGAGATTCACAGTGGCCCATTCCTCAAGCCTGTCAGGGTATCTCTGGATGGCTTCCTTTCCCTTCCAACTGCACCATTCAGCTTTGTGTCATCAACAAACTTGCTGAAGGGTGTGCTTCATCCCACTGTCTATGTCATTAATAAAGATATTAAACAGCACTGGGCTCAATACGGGCCCCTGAGGGACACCACTTGTTGCTAATCTCCATTTGGACAATGAGCCATTGACCTCAACACTGACTACAAATTCAGTTGCAGCTGCAACTGAAGATATGTTTTCTACTGCTTTACTCACTTCATGGACACGTTTGACTTCTTTTTTATTGTGGCAAATATATCTAACAATGCTATTAAACAGCTGTTTATGCTACTGCTGCTTTGGATTAAAATACTGGCATTGCTTTTTCTTCTTTACAATCTCACAAAGACATTTTCCACAGCAAATAGTTCAATTTGGGCAGATCCTGCAAGCCACCATGGGGTAGAGGGTTAATATGAGAACAAGATATGACAGGGGAACATTCTAATAAAACCTATTTTCATGAGCGTTACGAGAAGCTAGAACACACTGGCAACAGTGGAAGAAAAGTTAAAAAGATCCTGACAAAATAAATTAAATAAGGCACATCAGAAACATAGTGAGCCACGTACCCAGTTCAATTACTAAGTTGTCATGTCCTTTTACTCAGGAGTGGAATAAGAAGCAGGTTTCATATGCAGTGCCTTTAGGACAAGAGTGAACATGAGAAAATATAACTATTTGGCATGTCTCTTGCTCTCAGAGACAAGCCGTTCAGGAGTAAGCAACATTTTTCAGATCTGAGG